ATTAAATATCATTACTACAGAGCTATTTATTAGTGTCCAAAACCCACAAAATTTTGGAATTCACGATCCTATAACCAGTGGACTAGAGGAAACACGTTAACAAAAATTTGGATAAAACGGATTTTAGGTAACGGTAAAGAGTAAAAGCGTAAAAGTTTTTAGAAAACTTCTATATATAGTACAAGTTACTTTCTGAAGCCTCTACCTTTTTCGGATAGTTTTTGGGAAAAAATGAAAGAAAATAATAACGTCAGCATTTCCTTAATTTTCGAAGTTTTGTAAGGTTTAGTGTACTAAAAAATTTTAAAATCATATATCTGCTTACGCGCCAAATAACGCGTATATAAGGTTTAATTACGCGCCTGTTGTTTGGAAAGTTGCAGAGATAATCATGCTGCACAAACCTGGCAACCCTATAGACAGGCCGACTTCTTATAGACCAATCTCATTGTTGATTTCAAAACTGCTAGAGAAACTTTTATTGAGAAGACTCCAGCCTATAACTGAAAGTAAAAGGTTAGCCCCGAATCATCAATTTGGTTTTCGCTGCAACCACTCAACCATAGGTCAGATTCATTGAATAACTGACCTAATAGAAAACTTTAAGGTTTGGCATTGTGGATTAATAAAAAAACTTAGGCGATTACTACCAAGGCAGTATGTTGACCTGCTCGAATCTTACCTGACTAATAGGGTATTTCGAGTTAAACAGGAAGAGGAGTACTCTTGGCTTAGGGATATCAAGTCGGGGGTACCACAGGGGAGTATATTGGGCCCGATACTATACTTGCTATACACGTGTGATATTCCTGAATCGGAAGGAGTGACAGCAGCTACATTTGCAGATGATATAGCAGTTATCGCAATAGGACGAAATGAAAATGAATTTACACAAAAATTACAAAACTCCAGTGACGAGATCTCAAAATGGACTAGAAAATGGAATATAAAATTTAACGAGGTGAAATCAGTACACGTAAATTTCACTAATAGGAAAATTGACAATTCATTTTCGGTTCGAATAAATGAAGGAGCACAAAAAGAAAAAGAGATCTCAACTAGAGGAGTTATACAGAAAGTTCGAATGGCTTTTGGGGAGGCGTTCCAAATTGACAATATACAACAAAGTTTTGATATATAATCAAATATTTAAGTATTTGGGAATGACGTTGGACGCAAAGTTCAGATGAAAGGAGCACATAAGGAAAAAGAGATCTCAACTCGAGAAGGAATACAGAAAGTTTGAATGGCTTTTGGGGAGGCGTTCCAAATTGACAATATACAACAAAGTTTTGATATATAATCAAATATTTAAGCATTTGGGAATGACGTTGGACGCAAAGTTCAGATGAAAGGAACACATAAGGAAAAAGAGATCTCAACTCGAGAAGGAATACAGAAAGTTTGAATGGCTTTTGGGAAGGGGTTCTAAGTTGACGGTATACAACAAAGTTTTTATATATAATCAAATATTTAAGCCTGCCTAGGCTTATGGTTTTCAGTTATGGAGTTGCGATGCGCAGATTCATATTCAATCTATTCAAATATTTTAAAATAGGATATTACGGGACATTGTAGACGCAACTTGGTATGTCCGAAATGCCGATATACACAGGAATCTCAAGATCATAAGTGTCACAGACGAAATTAAAAAGCGAGCAGCCAAACATAAAATGCGTTTATCCAATCGAGGCGGCTCGATTGGTTGACAATCAAAACTTTGTTAGGAGACTTAAACGTACGAGACCTCTCTAGTTAGTTTAATGCTTTTTATTTGGAACAATGAGTATTTAGTACGCTATTGTGCCAGATCAAAAGCTTGTGAATAATCAAAGAGGTTGGAGCATAATTAATAGTCTTAGGTTAGTCTAATAGGTTAGTCGTTTCTGACTAGTTTTATAATTTATTTTGAGGAGAGTGCTTTTTAGTGGATTAAAGTTCCACACTAATGCTTTTCGTCTGGCAGTGTCTTTCGAGATTTTTCACCCTTCCTCTTGGTAAAAAAAAAATATAACTGCTAAAACATATATATGTCTTTCCTGGTTATGTCAAAAGCTTTAATTCTTCAAAAAACTTTTTGCTGGACAAAGTTGCAGCAATTGAAATGAAAATTTTGTTCTTTGCCTAACGGGTTTGTTTTTTTTAAATTTCAACTTTTATAATCCAAAATCAAAATTTTCAACGTTTTTTATAGCAAGAAAATATTTGTTGGTTTGAAAAATATTTCCATATTTGCCTTCAATATTTGATTTTCAACTTTGATGTCTGTTCTATTTTATTTTTTTGAAATGCACATTTTTCTCGTTTTAAAGTTTTTTTTATTTTAATACCAGACAGACCAAATATACACATTTTGCTAAAGATTTCAATAATATGAATTTTACACACATTCTGAAAATGTCTTGCAGGCTTTATACACCAAAACCTAATGTTAAATGTGAAATAAAAATGATAAAATTTGAATTAAATTTGAACTTAGACTTCAAATAAATGTTTTACTGCTAAAACTAAGCATATTAAGTTTGAACCTAAGCATTATTACCAATTTTGGCTCTTTTTGCTTAAATTTGGCCCATTTTTTTTAATTTAGCATATTAATTTTTTTATTAGTTGGAACTTCGCTTCATTTTTTACGAAAATTTTTTAACGTTGCTACATTTTATCGTTATAAAAGTTAAGAATCTATATCTATCTTACATATAAGAGTTATATCTTAGAAACTGTAAAAGTTGTGATATTGAAATTTCGCACAAGTAAATATCTAAGCAGGGCCGATATGTTTGATTAAACTATCAAACAAATATATTAATCGGGCCAATGTGTTAATTAAATGTCATTGAAATTTCTTGGCTCTTTCTGCTAGCAGCCATACAACTCCAAAAGTTATTTGACATTATCTCAGAAATTATTAAAATTATAATACAGAAATCTCGTGAAAACAAGTATATTATTAGGGCTGTTATGTGTGATCATTGAAATTTCCTGACTCATTGTGGTAGCAGCCATACAACTTCAGTAGTTGTTTGGGCATATTTTAGAAAATATTGAAAATATAGCACTGAAATTTTGCATAAATTAATATGGTAATATGGCTACATAAAGTCATAGTCTGTCCCATAGTCAGCTATGGCATATTTATTTGCACATAGGATAACAAATTCGTACGGGTATTATAGAGTTGACACGGTCAATTCTATTTTTTCTTTTTTTTTTTATTATTCTTATGTTAATCTTTAAAACTAAAATTTTGCACTTTATTTTGCGTTTCCTTGCAAAATTTAGGTACCTAACTACATATTTTAAATATTTAAATCAGAAAATAGTAAAAAGGTTCTATTGAAATAATTCTCTTATTACTATATGATATTGGAAATCGGAACTCGCACATCGAGTTTTCGGTGGGAACACGTTTCTCCATGGTAGAGAGAAACATGTAAATAAACTATTTTTAGCAATCTGTCGGTCTGGCGATCTATATGTGTGTGTGTGAACGTGTTTATATCAAGTGTGTATTTCATCCATTTTGATGAAATTTTACACGTAAGTTTATTTCGACCATGTCAAGGATTAATCAACTTTTGGGATATATCAGGCGTCGGGGACTGGACCTTTTGACAAGCCTGTTTTACATTTTTGGTCATTATTCAACAAGAAAATATTCAACAGATTTAGTTGAAAATTCATATATAAAATTCGTGTAAAGCTTTCGATTGTCCGCGAAACCTCGTAGCTTTTGGAAGAAATCAAGTGTCAGCAACTGGAAGTTTACTACGGGCCAAATAAGCATATTTGCGTATATAACAAAGAACAATCATTGAAATTTCATTGAAATTTCATATTTGAATTCGAGGTGTTAAAACAGTGAATCTATAAATTGTTACATTTTTTACCATATCTACGGAACGGATTGATGAAATATCTTGAAGTTTGATATTGGGGTTCTATTCAGGAGTTACTGATGAACTTTCTCTACTAAGAGCCAAATTTAGATTTTTCTAGACATGTTAATTAAAAATTTATTAGTGCCCTTAATATTTTACAGAAATGTTTAAAACGCAATTTCATAATCTTCTGGAATACTTTTACTAATTTAGACAATATAATTGTCTAATTGTCTTAGACAATAGAATTGTTGTCAGTTAAGAGGTCAGCAGAGTTTTTTTTCTACTTTTTTTTTTACATTGATATTTTTATAACAGTTTACTAAAAAACATATTTATTTTTATATTATCTTTAATATTGTTTAAAATATCAATTTCTCAAAAGAAGCAGAAAAGAAGAGAATTACTGACCTTAAACACTCACATCTAATTTTCTAACACATATACATGGAACCTGTTCCATATTGATTTAAGATAAGAATAATATTATATTTGTACAGTGCATTTCAATAATCAGTGCTTTAACATTATAGCATTGTTTTAACATACTGCGTTAAAAATTTATAAAATTGAATTGTTGCTATCAAATCTCAAAGGTTTTCTTGATAGAGGAATTTTAACGATTTTATACAAAATTTTTACTTCCCCAATTTTTTTTGTTTATAATTTCCGTTCTGAAAAAGGTAGATTATTCAATTAAACAGTTCTTGATAGAGCCAATTAATATTGAATTTATAGTATTACTTTTTATAGAAAGAATAAAATATAAAAATTCGAATTTATTAAATTTTTACTTTTTTACTTTTCTAAGTGCCGAATTTTTCGACACTTTAAAAGTATTTTTTTCCCCATTTTTTCCTATCGCTTTAGTTATATTCAGGTCATTAAAAATTAACAATTTCTGCCCCACAATAATAAGGACAGGCGAGTTTTGCTTCAGTTAACTATTTTTTGAAAAAACATAATTAAAACTTAAGCTAACGTTCAATTTTAATATTTTTTCATCAATTAGATTTAATTGCATTATTTCATCAATATTGATGATAATATTTTTTAATTTATTAATAATTTCGTTAACTTTTTATTATTTCTAAATTATTTTTTAACAATCTTTTGCAGTTATGGTGCCATACGTAGTGGATATCATAATTTTGGAACTCAAGGTGGACAAGACTCAAGCTTTCCAAGTCCTAGGCCAGCATTAGGATATCCCTTTCCACCGATACATCAAAACTCTTATTCAGGTTATCATTTAAGTACTTATACTCCACAATGTCCTAGCCCGCCCAAAGATGGTAAATTTTTATTTTAAGCTAGAGCTGCCCAAAGTTAGTATAAATTATATCAGTTTTGAATTTGAGAAAGAATTTCGTTTACAGATAAAAGTGATGACACGAGTTTAAGAATTAATGGCAAAGGAAAAAAAATGCGGAAACCAAGAACAATATACAGCTCTTTGCAGTTACAGCAATTGAATCGAAGATTTCAGAGAACGCAATATTTAGCTTTGCCTGAAAGAGCTGAATTAGCTGCTAGTCTAGGTTTAACACAAACTCAGGTAAAATATTATTAAATGTATGTTAGTTTAGATAATTCAGTTACTTCAAATTTGTGTTTAACGTAAGTATATATAAGAAGAACAGTGCAAACTAAAGTTAAATTTTTTTTTTTAAATATATAAACGAGCAAAAATTGAATAACGCATCTTCAGTTGATACACCTTTTTTAAAGCCAAACTGTTTCGAACTAAAAAAGTTAAATTCATTTAAGTATTTTAAAGTTCTAACTTCTATGGCTTTTTCAAAAATTTTAGAAATTGTAGGAAGTAAGGAAATAGGTTTGTAATTATTTGAAAAGTGGAATTACAACCGCAGATTTTAACTTGTCAGGAAATACGCCCGAAAGAACACTAAAATTGAAAATATAAGCCAGAACATCTATAATATTAAAAGGAATTTCCTTCAACAATTTATTGAAAATATTATCAATCCCTACATAGTTTGAATTATTTAGAGACCGAATAATTTGGAGAAGCTCAAGAACGGAAAGGTTATCAAACACGAAGCTGTTACGCACACTATTTACTTCCATTGTACTGTAATCATAATTAGAACCCAGACCAGAAGACAATTTTACAGCAACTGAAGAAAAATGATTATTGAACTCATTAGCAACTAGAAACTCATCTGTTATCAATAGCCTCCACTCGTTCTTTATGTCACCATTACATCTAATAAATTTATTATGATAAAATCTATCACGGCATTCCGCAATATCTTTTTTTATGACTTTGCACAGCTTATTATAACGCCTTTTCAATTTCACATTAGAATGGTGCTTATATAACTTGACTCTTAATTTGTTTTTCAACTTCAGTTTTCTCAACAAGACATCATTCATCCACAGTTTTAACTTTTTATTTTTCACACTAGGTCTAACGCTAAATGTACATTGGAAAATATAGCTGCTTAAAATTTCAATGAATTTATTTTATGCCACACTAGCATTTGATTCATTGTAAACAGCATCCCAAAATTCAAACAGAAGCATGTTATTTAGTCTATTATAATCTATTTTTCTAATAGAAGCAGTAATAGGAGTATTATTTGTTTTCTCAACCTTTAAAGGCTTAACAAGTCCAGTCATGCAGTGATCTGTAATTTCAAAATTAAACACACCTTTTTCACACGACTCCAAAGGAATAACATCAAAACGAGCATGAATATGCTTAGTAGGTTCATTAATAAAAGAAAACAATCCGTTATCGGAATTGAAAGATATTAAAATTGAAACATAATCAACACTTTCTGTATTGCTTAAAGAGTCTAAATTAAAGTCACCAACAATTATCAAATTAGAAGAATTTATATTTAAAAGCAAATTATTGAATTTATTAAGAAATATATTAACTGAAGAACTGTGTAGCCTGTACACACACATAAAAGAAAGAGATATATCATTAATTTTACAATCAATTTTTAAAATATCAGTAGATTCAAGACTATAATTTGTAATATTTGAATACGAATAAGTATTTTTTACGAATAGCATACGACTCATTAGTATTTGCAAAAAAAAAAATAATTAGGAATGTTATACTCAACTAATTAATTTTCAAATATCCAAATTTCAGAAACAAAAATTGAGTCCGGCTTATTAACAAAAGTTTCTAAATACACAAGCAATGAATCGAAATTTTGTCTTAAACTTCTTATATTTTAATGTACAACAAAAACCATGTTATTATCAGAGAAAGTTTCGAAAACACTACTACAATTTAAGATAGAATTGTCACTATAACTAATATCAAAATCTAAATCTAAGTTATTTTGTTCAAAAATCATTTGCCTAGAGGATTCATATAATTGAAAAACGCCAGTCTAGTTCTTTGTAGATGTTCTCTGTACTTATGTGGCTTCTGTATGTCTTCAAATCATTAGCTACCTCCTTTTGAGAAAAACCAATCTGCTCATGATACTGATCATAGATATTTCGTAACTTTACCAAGTCAGTTGAAAGACCTTCTTGATTTATCAAAACTTTAATATTAACTTGAGTTATTTCATCGACACATACATCATTATTAACAAAGAGGAAGTTACATGCTGTCACCTTGTTCCAGAGATTTTTGAATTAATTTAACAATTGTTGGGAGCATTGGACTAATAAAGCTTGTTTCTTTTGTATCACTGCATTCGTTAAGTGTTTCGCCCTGTACCCAGTTGGAATACTTTTTTTGATTTTTTAGTGTTATTCATCGAGTCAGCATTTAAAACGTTGAAATTTCCAGTACTAACATCATTAGCATCATCGCTATTTACATTAATATTATAATTACTTTCAACAGTATTATTATTATTATTTATATTTTTATTGTTGTTAACATTATTATTATCATTGTTGTTGTTATTATTAGTATTATTTGTATTCATACATTTACGCTTTATTTTCGAAAAGTATCTATTCAGCACTTTTTTATTAAAATTTGTGAAAGAACTTCCAGCAGGCGAAAATAAATTTGCAGGTGACACATTATTTGAGGTAGAACTTGATAAAGGTTTCGTCACTTCGTTGTTTTCATTTCACTTAATAACTTTTTCCTTTTTGCAATCTCTGCTTTTATGTTTACCTAGGCAGTTCAAACAATTTTCCTCGTTTTTACATTCAGCCGCTTTGTGATTAAACTCATTACATTTGTAACAACGAAGAACACGTAAAGCGTCAAACACCTTACAACGTTCCCATCCAATTGAAACTTTTTCACTATGTAGAACTCTAGGAAAAGATTCCTTGTCTATTTCAATGATAGCGTTGTATTTATCCTCACTCTGTTTTTGAACTTTATACATCTTCACAATTTTTAACTCACTTGTTTCAAGATGAAGGTTTTGAGCTTTCAACTTGTTTATCAACTCAGCTTCAGAATATTTAGCTCTAATATGGATAACTTCAATTATTGGTTTTATCTCCGATGGTATTTTTACTTCATATTTTTTATCCAGATTGTTTTCAAGCGCTGATTTAATTTTCTTTCTTTCTTGACTGTCGTCAGTGTCAACAATAATAACCCCATTTCTTCTGTTTTCTTTATTTTTAATTTTGAAAGCTTTAGGGTTAACCTTCTTACTCAAATCAGGTCTTGTTACATTGCACTTTTGTTTAGCAACTGGCTTGATTACTAGCGGTAGTTGCTTTTTCGTTTTTGGAAATTTTTTGCTTACCTCAGCATTTTTTACTATCTCAGCAAACGAAAAACTTTGACCTGCATTCATTTTTGCTTCACTTCCGTTTAAATTTTTAATTTCTTTACAAAGTTCGTCGGTCTTTAACAAAGTTGAACTTACTATACTGTTCAGTTTTTCTGAATCAGTTTTGAATACCTCCGTTATTTTTGATACTTTTTCAAATTATTTTTTCGGTGCTTCTTTAATTCCTTCAAAACGAACGTCAAAATATCTGTCTTCTATAGCTCTTAGCAACTCAAATACTTCCTGTTCATTCTTTTTTATAGCACTTTCGAACTCTTGTTTGTACTCATTTAAATAATCATTGTTCTTTTTGTAATATTATATCCACATTTTGAATGTATAAAATACTTTCATCACAAATGAATTTGATGCATCCATTAGAATCCAGAAGATTGCTCACTGCTTGTTCTAAACCTGAGCATTTAATAGCACTATGGTAAATTTTACCACAAACACCAGCACATCTTATTCCTGTCTCACCTCTAATATTAGTTCTACATTTGGTACATTCCGCCATAACCTGAATAGTTACCGGTACAACTATGCAAAACGCGCGAATTTAAATTTTTATTTAAATAAAAATTAATTAACCAATATTTTATCCTAAAAAAATAAACACGTCCGATTATTTTGATTGATTTTGATTGAATGACGAAATTTAATCTTGTTTTTTATCGTTCGACAGTGAGAAGACAAAGATTCCATAACTTACGATACACAATGATCATTATGTTTTAAAACTTTTTAACGCACAATGATTAATCATTGATATTAATTAAAACTATTTTAATGCATGCAATCTAAATATATTTATCTAGTACAGCAAAAGAGTGTATGTTATAAGTTTTTATTAATTTCTTAGATGCCAACATAATTAATATAATTAAAAAAACTTTTTGATGTACTCAGGTTGTGAATTTATATTTTATATTTCATCTCCACGACAAAATTTTTTTTTTACTGAGAGGAAGGGTGAACAATCTCGAAAGACACTGCCAGACGTAAAGCAGTAGTGTGGAACTTTAATCCAAACAAAAACACCCTCCTCAAAATAAATTATAAAACTAGTCGGAAACGACGAACCATTAATTTTGCTCTAACCTTTCTGAATATTTACAAGCTTTTGATCTGGCACAATAGCGTACTAAGTATTCATTGTTCCAGATAAAAACATCAAACTAACTCGAGAGGTCCCATACGTTTAAGTCTCCTAACAAAGTTTTGATTGTCAACCAATCTAGCCGCCTCGATGTTAACATGATCGGATAAACGCATTTTATGATTGTCTGCTTGCTTTTTAATTTCGTCTGTGACACTTAGGATCGTGAGATCCCTATGTATATCGGCATTTCGAACATACAAAATTGCGTTTCCAATGTAGTAGTACTCTATTTTGAAATCTTTGAATAGATTGGATATGAGCCTGCGCAGCTCCATAACTGAATACCGTAAGCCGAGACAGGCTTAAATATTTGATTATATATCAAAACTTTGTTGTATATTCTCAACTTAGAACGCCTTCCCATTGAAACATTCTGTATTCCTCCTCGAGTTGAGATCTCTTTTTCCTTATGTGCTCCTTCCATCTGAGCTTTGCATCCAACGTCATTCCCAAATACTTCGCCGTGTTTGCGGACGAAATCAAGACGACATTTATTCGAACCGAAAATAAATTGTTAATTTTCTTACTAGCGAAATTCGCGTGTACTAATTTCACCGCGTTAAGTTTTATATTCCACCTTCTAGTCCACTTTGAGATCTCATCACTGGCCTTTGTAATTTTTATGTAGATTCATTTTCATTTCGTCCT